TCAGCTATGTGGTAAATCCACGGTGCTTCTTTCCACAGTGTGACAATTTTCCTGCACACAGTATTGCTTCTGGGGCTGAGAACTGGACCTAGGGTTTTATGCTGCATCATAGTCTATGAAAGTTAAAATCTTATTTTACACCTGGGAACATCTCACTCTTCACTGGCACAATAAATATTTAGTATTTCGAGACAGTGGTGCAATGTGTAACAGTAGTGGTTATTGTGTAGAGTTGCTTGCAATGGCTGCAATTGTTCCAGTAAGTTATTAATTATTTCTAAAGTCCTTTTGACTAATATTTACCAGATGAAAAATTAGTGACTAACAAAGGCAGAAACTGCCAAGTTTGTTCACTCACTTCAGTAGCAATCTCACAGGCTCTCCCTCCCAGCCTTCTAAACAGGTCTCTGAGGTAACAGCTAGGGTAGACAGGAAGAATGTTTGCTCCCCTGATGGAGGGATGACACACCAAGGGGCACAGATTTAACGTAAGGCACAGACGTTCAGAGGAGATGCGAACAAAAACCTTTTCACCTGGAGGGTGGTAGCAATCTACAATCACTGCCTGTAAGGGAGAGGCAGAAACCCTCAAAATTTAAGTAGTATTCAGATGTGTGCTTGTGATGCCAAGGCATACAAGACTAAGGACTAAGTGTTGGAAAATGGGATTAGAATATTTAGGTGGTAGTTTTTGATTGGCATAGGCACTATGGGCCAAAGAGCCTTTCTCTAAGCTGAGGATCTTTATGACTCTATGAATTAACACTTATGCAACGCAGGTAATCAAAAGGATTGATACAATTGAAACTTTTATTTTCAAACTGTCTCTGGTTCTAGATTCCACAGCCAGGGAATATTTCCTTTCTGCATCTATATCTATTCCTTAAAGAATTTCATAAGTTGCTATGAGATCACCTCTCATTCAACTAAACTGTAGAAAATACAGGCCCAGTCTTCTCAATCTCACCTCCGAGGACAGTGCCACTATTCCCGGAATCAGTCTGGCAAACCTCCACAGTTGTTCCTCTATGGCAAGTATGCCCTTCCTTGGCCAAGGGTTGAAGAACTGCAGACAATATTCTCACAAACAGGTGCAGTCTTACCAAGACTTCTGTACTCACATTCTCTCGTGAAAAAGACAAACATACAGTTTGCCTTCTGAATTACTTGCTGCACCTGCATGCTAGCTTTCATTGTATTATGAACAAGGATACCTAGATCTTTTGGTCACAAACATTTTCCTATCTCCCATCATTTAAGAAATACTCTGTACATTTCTTTCCCCTACAGAGGTGGATAGGACACAATTTGAATGTGTGAGGCTATCTGCCATGCTCTTGTCCACTCACTTAACCTGCCTAAATACACAGTCTTTTTGCAACTCCCTCAACTCTCATTCCCAAGTTTTACATCATCTGCAAACTTGGAAACGTTACAGTTGACTCCTAAATCCAAATCCAAATCCAAATCCAAATCATTGATACAGATGGCAAATAGCTTGGGCCCCAAGAAAAAGGGCTAGGCCCTGGCAGGATCTCACTGGTTACAGACTGCCAACCTGAGAATGTCTCACTTATTCCTATTTTCTGCTTTCTTTCTGTTAACTAGTCCTCAAACCATGCTCGTATATTATTATCGTTGATCTCATGCATTTTAATTTTGATTTTTAACCTCCAGCATGGATTTTAATCAAAAAACCTTCCAAAAATCCGAATATACACATCCACTTGTTCCATCTTATTGACTTTGCCAGGAACATCCTAAAAAATAAAGATCTCAGGTCTGTCAAGTATCATTTCCCTTCATAAATCTATGATGACTCTGTCCATGTCAGGCTAACAGATCTGAAGTTCCCTGTTTTCTCTCTTACTTTCTTAAAATGTGAAGTCACATTTGCATCCTTCCAATCTGCAAGCATCATTGCAGAATTAAGAGTTTTAAAAGATGATCATCAATCTCTAACATCTGTAGCCATCTCTTTCAAATGATCTAGGATGAAAGTCATTAGGGATTAGTCAACTTTACCAATATTACTTTTAACTAATGCTAAGATCTTTCAGTTCCACAGTATCACTAGAACCTTGGATCTTGATTATTTCAGGGAAACTTTGTGTCTTCCTCACAGAAGCTAAAGCACTTATTTAGCTTCAGTTGTTGCTTAATTTCCTGTTATAATTTCTCCCATCTGCCTGTAATGGATACAGATTTGTTTTTGTTAATTTAATCCTTCTTTAAAATATCTCTAACCTTATGTAACCTGTTTTTAGCTATTCCATATTCATATTCTATTTTCCATATCAATTTCTTGATCCTTCTTTGTTTATTTCTAAAATCCTCCCATTTCTCAGGTTTACAACTACTTTTTTGGCAACTTCATAATTCTTTTCCTTTGATCTTATTAACTTGCCTTGTTAGCCACAGCTCTCTGTCTGTTGGGGACTTTTGCCTTAAAAGGAATCCATGTGTTATGAAAACTAAGTGTAAAATATTATCCATTGACTGTCTACCAAACATATTTTTCTAGTGTCCTCCTCATATGTTTATAATTGCACCCTGGTTCAACCATAACTGGAATTTTGCATCCATTCCTGGGCTCTACACTTAAGGAAGGGTATGAAAGTAGTAGACAAAATGCAGAAAAGATTCTCAAGATTAACTCCAGAGATGAGGAACTTCGGTTAAATAGTTAGATCAAACAAGCTGGGGTTGGTTACTAGAAGAGAAGTTGAGGGTAGATTTGGACTTCAACCAAGCCATTAACGGAAGGATCAAGAACGATAGGCGCACAATTTAAGGGGACTGTCAAAAAGATACATTGGAGAGTAGAAAGAATAAATTTAGATTTGTTTAATATCATATCAAATAATCCAGAAACGCTTTGCACCCAAAAGTTTTTTTTGATCTAAGTATAACTCTTCCGTACACGCAAGCTTAGCATAGTACAATGTTTCACCATTCTCTAAAGGAACGCTACCAGCCACAGTCTGACACCTAAGCCACATAAAGAGAAATTAGAAATCTTGGTTAAGAGAGGTGGCATTGTGGCTCAGGGGTTAGCATCACTGCCTCTCAATGCCAGGGACCCAGGTTAGATTCCCTGCCTCAGGCTACTGTCTGTGTCAAGTTTGCACATTCTCCGTGTCTGTTTGGGTTTCTGCTGAGTGCCCTGGTTTCCGAAACAGTCCAAGGATGTGCAGGTTAGATGGATTGGCCATGGTAAATGCAGGGTTATAGAGCAGGGGGTGGAATGCTCTTCGTAGGGTCGGTATGGACAAATGGTCTGCTTCCACACGGTAGGGATTGTATGATTCTATGAGGAACGAGAAACCAGTGTTTGGGTCTGGAATGCACTGTTGAAATAGAGGAGTCAGGTCAGTCCTTTGAAAGAGCAATTAAAATAGCCCCACTCCCTTTGGCCTGGAAACATTTCCCTTCAAGCAATTTTTCAGTTCTCTTTTGAAAGAGATTATATCTGTATCCACCTGCTTTTCAGGCAGTGCTTTCTAACTAGAACATTTCACCACATAAAATCCCAAACAGTCGCTTTTAGAATTTGATTAGAGAAGAAATCTACTTTAATAACAATAACTACTCCAATTTAAGTTAACCATTTCATATGAGGAAGCAAAACATTTCTTCTAGAGAGTACTTAGAAACTCAGAACTTTCTCAATGTAGCAATAAAATCACAAAAGATCTAAAAATAATTAAAATACGTTTGATCCAAAGGGAGAATTTTGGAATAAAAACAGAAAAACGTTAAGAATTTAGCAAGGTAGGCCACAATCTGTATGGAGAGAAATTTCTAGGTAGAGATTGCAGCAAAAGTACGCCAGAAACTCAAACGGCAAGGTAAACTTTTATCAAGGAATAATGACAGCCCTGACCTACCTCTATACTGAACCAAACAAACATTCTTCTCCGTAGATTCCTGCTTGAACTGAAAAGGAAAGGCTTTTGTGTTGTCAACAATTAAGATCCCTTTAAGCTATGACACCAAATTGTTGGTACTTCCATGAAGATTTTTAAAAGTTTATTCCAAGGTCTCTGGCACTTATCAGGCAATAGGCACAGGCTCAGAACATGTGTGTAGAGGAAGAAGATTTAGAAAAATTATAAGCTAGAAACAATGGAATGAGTGGCTTTATGTGTAACAAAGTTTTGGGGTTCTATGATCCTTGCTCCTATTGTTTTCACATTTCTGTCTCTTGCCAATTATTCCCACTCCCATTTTCTCCCTATGACTCTGTTTCTCTCTCCCTGCTTATTCTGGTGCAATAGGGTTATGGTTGGAGGATAACTGTTGGCACTAATTTCTCCAGGCCACAAATGAGCTGGGAATGTTGGAGGACAAATGTGGTTTTGTAACCCAGCTTCTGGCCCAGTCACTGCCCTGATTCTTGCCTCTTTCATCTAGCTGCTTAACCACTTCCTCCCTTCCATCCATCCCTCAACTTATTTTCCACCATTCCTAGCCCAATATTTTGACTCTTTAGTATTGGTTACCCTCAAGAGCTTTGCTTTCAAACTTCAACTTATTTTTAGGGAAGAAAATCAAAATTAGAATGACAAATAGACTTTCTTAATTCATCACAATAGGAAAACAACCACTACAGGAAAGAGAGATTGAGAGAAATAGTATCATGAATACGGCAGACAGATAATTTGTATTTGCTAACTAATCATTGAACTCTAGCATTGAGCACGTGTAATGTGTACATTTACACATACTTCCTGCCTGCACCCACAGCTTCCAGAGGTGAAAATTCTTCTCTCTATTTTAAATTGAGGGGTATAAATTTATGTGAAAAACATGTAAACATCATTCAAAATGTAAAGTCTGGTTGTCAGGTGCCTACCAATCTGAAATATTTTGCCATTTTCCAACATCCAAAATACGTTTTTGAGAAAAAAATTAGATAAGTTGTAACATGTGTCAATTAACCATCAGCAGTGAAATTAAATGTCTGAGTTAGTATCGCTTAGATGGAAGAGTATTACCTGTTTTAACAGCATCAACCAACTTTGGATCTTCTTCCATTTCCAGTAGCTTCTTATAGTAAGCTGGATTTTTTTCCATCTGTGCTTGGGCTCCACTAACAGTCATCCAGATAAGGCTACGATATTCATTTGGAATTCCTTTCCTGATGTAGCGTTTCACTGTCATGGGAATAAAAGCAAGTAGTTAAAATGTGAAACACAAATCGCATTCATTAGCAGGCTACAGAAAGCCTTTTTTCCCCCTGATCATGGGGATGTTTTATTTCTTTACAGTCAATATTTAGCATTTAAACCAATTCTTAAAATTTGTACAAGATATTATTATCCATTGAAGTGGATTTCTTTTTCAAAGATGTTTGTATGCAGATCAAATGCTGGTGCATTTAAAGCCCTTGCCCTCAGCTCCTTTATGCAGCTGAGTTCAACAAAAACCACAAGGCAAATCCCTCTAAAGTGACTATCAGTACTCACACAGAAAATACTTTGTTTACATAAAAGAGCTGCAAACCTATGCGAAAATATATTTGGATGGGGTAGCAGACTTGATCTAATTAGCAATTGGATTTACACTTTAAAAGACTTCTGGAAAAATAGCTATGAGCATATAAAAGTGCTTGTGTTCTACTCACTAGAAAATATTTCTCAAGAATCTTCGCCTCCCCCACCTTCAAAAACCCCTTACAAGTCTTTAGTGGCACAACCACAGAACTATGTTTGGCCCATTAAATATCACTATTCATTTCTTAGTGTGGAAAGAGACTGCAGTAGACAGAAAATTGAGTTAGTATCTCTTTTACAGTGCACATGACTTTATGCACTTACATGTTTATTTTTTCAGGTAAGGAGACAAATATTCATTGAATGTCTTGATTCACTTCCTGAAATACTCGATTAAAAAACAAGCTTTACTGTTGATGGCATAGGTTGAATTAGGAGATTCAGCTCTGATTAAAAATCTGACCAATTATATAACTTTAAATCTCAACTGAAATAACGTCAATCACAAATAAATAAAAAAAAGCAATATACAGACACTGGGAATCTGAAATAAAAACAGCACAACGGTGAATACTCAGACAGCACTTGAGAGAAACAGAGTTAACATTTCAGACCAATAACTTTTTGTAAAACCTGGAAATGCCATGGATTTTTCTCCAGCAAGATGGCGGCACCGTAAGACACTCCAGCGGAGCTCCACGTATTCTTTTCCTTTTGTTCTCTCTTTTCTTTCCACCTTCTGCATTAGGGGAATGGAGAAGTTGGCGAGTCACCGAGACAAATCCGAGCAGCGGACATGGCGAATCCTCAAGTGGTGGATGGAGAGGGTGAGGCGATTCCTGGGAACAGCAGCCAGCATGGGTGAAGCAGTCCTGCAGCAGCGGCCAATGTGAAGAAAGCAGTCCGGAAACTTACCTTGAAGTAGCAGAGGGCCCGTACCATGATGCGGCAGTCAGACCATGTGGGGAAGACCCTGCGCTGAGCTGCTGCAATGTAACGTGTATTTGGAATTTTTTTTAAATCTGACTGTCATGTCAATCCTTTGACTAGGTCTTATTGCTAACATATTCTTTAAAAGCTGTAAAGTAACGCAACTACTTTTCTTTTTATTCCTCTTTTGTATCTAAAATTTGTACCTAGGTACTTGTACCTAAAGATAGCACCATAAGAGGCAACGCTGTAAAACTTTTCACTGTACTTCTGTACTGCAGTACGTGACGATAAACTCTCACACACACACACACCAATCTATGGGGCAAATTTGTATTTGCAGATACATTCAATTTGGTTCAAAAAGCACACAATTTATAGACAGTCAATGTGGCATTTTATAAATTCCTACTTTAGTAATAAAACCAGTCTGATTCCAAACCAAAACACAAACAGATTCTAAACAAGACTCACATGCATTGTCTGATCTAAAATGACAACTCTTCTTTACACTGATAAAACCTTTAGTTCTCTCAGGGCAGTGACTTGAAAGAAATTCAGGGATTTACATATACATATTAACCAATTAAAACTTTCCAACTGATTAAAGATTTAATAGCACCTTAGGTTTGTTTAATACATCCTCAACGGTGTGACCTTTTCTTCTTTTACTTCTGCATCGGATACCACCTCTCTCGCTAACACCTGAAGGAGGATTGAGGCTCCTGTTGGACTATAACCTGACGTTATGCCACTTCTGACCTTGTTCACCCCAGTCCAACACCAGCACCGCCACATACTGATTTATTAGCATTTTTATTTGCTTTGCTTTGACCACTAGCCATTACTAAGTTTCACAGATCAGGCACTTCCATAGCCTACCTTTCAGTGTTGATGGACAGCTTATTCTCTCCAGTACCAAGACCAATTAATTTTGCCTAGTTAAACGCCTAATTCTAAAAATCTGCTGCTGAAACCCTCATCCATCCCTCTTTACCTCTAGACTCAACTATTCTAATACATGCTCGCCGAACTGGTGTGTTTGATAGCAGGGTGACAAAACATCTGCAAGGTAACACCATCAGCGCGCCTCCAATGAAGCATCGGTGTTCTGTCCCACTTTTTATTTATATGCCTCGGTTTGCTGGGGTGGTTAGTATTACTTCTGGTTTTGTTTCTCAGTGGTTTGTACACAGGGTCTAATTCAAGGTGTTTGTTGATGGGAGTTCCGGTTGAAACACCAGGCCTCCAGGAATTCCCTGGCATGTCTCTGTATGGTTTGTGCGATTATCGATGTATTGTCCCATTTGAATTTGTGTCCCTCATTGTCCGTTTGTACTGAGACAAGTGTGCAGCAACCTGGAACTATGCAAAGCAGAACAGCAACACTTATACTGAGTCTTCAAGAGAAACGGCTGCCCAAAAAGCACAATCCGCCGTTACCTCTGAGACAAACAACAACAGGAAGATATAGCATGACCTGAATTACTTATCACCCTAGTATACATCAAGGACATTTCAGAGATGACCACAAGACTACTCAGACCCCTAGGTATTAGAGTAGCCCACAAACCGACAACCACCCTATGACAGCTACTGATGAACATAAAAGGACCCCATATCCAAAACCAGCAAAACTGGGGTAATGTACAAAATACCATGCAAGGACTGTGAGAAACACTACATAGGCCAAACCGGAAGAAAATTGACTTTCTGGATACATGAACACCAACTAGCCACCAAGAGACATGACCAATTCCCACTTGTCTCAGTACACACGGACAATGAGGGACACGAATTTGACTAGGACAACACATCGATAATCGGACAAGCCATACAGAGACACACCAGGGAATTCCTGGAGGCCTGGCATTCCAGCTGGAACTCCATCAACAAACACATTGAATTAGACCCTGTGTACAAACCACTGAAAAATAAAACGGGAAGTAATACCAACCACCCCAACAAACAGGCATATAAAATAACCAGCGAGACAGAACACCGACACTTCACTGGAGGTGCCTGATGATGTTACCTAACAGGATAACGAAACGTTTACAACCAAAACCAATGGCTCGGCAAACATGTCTACAACCTCATCCACAACCCGAGCTACAAATCTTCACAAAAACTTTATTCCAATACCTATTTGGCCAGGGGTCACACTGCACCTTCCATAAACGTAAGCTCATCCAACAATGCAGCATACATTTTAAACTTTCTCTCTCTGTCTCAGTCACATTAACTCTGCTTGATGACCTTTATGGGCAATGCCTTGAATTTGATACGCTTCACCTCTCCATCTCTAACATTCTCCAACTTTCTAATCTTCCAAGATTTTGGCACTCTTCCAACTCCCACCTTTTGCACATCCTTAAGTGCTGCGCGACTGGGGCCTGTTTTCTGCTGCCTCAGTCCCAAACAATGGAATATGCACTTTAAACTTCTCAGTCGCTTTACCTCTCCCCACTCCTTTAAAGATGTTCCTTGAAATTTAATCTCCGACTAAGCTTTTGGTCGACTAACTAACATGGCTAAGTGTCATATTTTGTTTGGTAAAATGCCTCAAGGCACTTAATGTTACTATTTAAGAAGGTATCATAAAAATCTATACGACCATAAGATTATTGGACATAGCAACAGAATTTGGCCATTTAGCGCATTGTGTCTGCTCCACCATCCGATGAGATCATGGCAGATATAGTAATCCTCAAATCCACTTTCCTGCCTTTTTCCTCTAACTCAATTCCCTTACTGATCAAAAATCTGATTGCCTTTTCACATCTCCTCCGAACCTTGAATCTTCAGAATAGTTTTTGATTATATTACTGTACTTGACATCTAATGAAGCACACCTCATCTTAATCTTTAGGCATTTTCCTCAGAGTCAAAGCATGAATGAAAATAGAATGAAAGCACCTTTGAATATAAAGCTAACATTGTTAAATATAATTGGTACAGACTTGCTCCAAGCTCCCAGTGGATAAGACATTAAGGTACCAGAAAGATACAGATGAGTCAGGCCAGACAGAATAAGAATCCTCAGAGGCAAGGATTGGCAATAACAAGTTAAGCTAAGATACATGCATTAGTTACACCTTATGTGTACTTGTGTTTAGGTCTTTGATTTTGGTATGGTCATTTAGTGGATATACCTCAGTCTGGTGATATATAGCAAGTGCCAGAAGGGTTTACAAAGAAAGATTTTGAACAGCTCTAGGTTGCTAATTCTGCTCTGTGTAGTGAACATAGTATAAAATAGGATATCTAGAAGAACAAGGGCAACAGATATACGTGAACATCAGCAATTGCAAAATCCACTCCAGACCACACATCATCCCAAGTTGGAACAATTTTGGCTCCTTAACTATTGCTCAAAAACCTAAGACTCCCCCTGTAACAATGCTGCAGGCAAACATACAACACAGATTACAGCTCTTCATGGAGGTGGGTCACCAACACCGCTCATGGGCAATTAGAGGTCAGCTGCAAAGATGATGGTTTTGCTTGCTTTTCTTGAAGAAGTGCAACAAGTTAGTAGGAATTGTCTTTAAGCTATCAGATGTTCTTTGGGTGAATACATGGGTCAAGATGATAAACATGGGAAAAGGAGCACAGGTTGTGCAATTCAGAGCTTCTAAGTGCTCAGCGTATCTGGGAGAGCAGCACCCACCCCTCCCAGGCTCACTCACTGTCACGTTTCACAATGTGAGAAATGGGTAAATATTATG